CAATAGGTTGTGGTCTACCTAGTCCTTTCTGTGATGGACATATCTGTAATCTAGGATAGTTTCACTATGTTCTGTTTTTTTTTTTATCTTTTCCTTTTTTTAGATTCTTTTGTCAGTCTGGCAGGTCGTTTTCCCTGTGGCGCTTGAATGCCCTCATAGAGGGTATATATACACATCTAGATGTGTATAAGAGACAGCACACACACACACACACACAAAACACACGCAGAGAAACACACACACACACACACACACACACACACACACACACACACACACACACACACACACACAAGAAACACACACACACACACACACACACACAAACACACACACACACACACACACACAAGAAACACACACACACACACACACAAACACACACACACACACACACACACACAGAGAGAACACACGCTACTGAAATCTGCTAGGACAAAAAACGGGGTAAGCCTGGGTTCGAAAACTTGGGTCACAAAATTGGGTAAAAAAACTGGGCCATTAAAACTGGGTCATCAAAAACTGGGTTAACAACGGGTCAAAGTTCAGTTAAATTTGGATTAAAGATGGGTTAAACATCAGTTAAACACGGGTCAAATATGGGCTAAACACATAGGTTACATACGGTTTAAATATGGGTTAAACAAGCGTTACATACGGTTTAAACATGGGTTAAGCATGGGTTTTTTCAATGGGTTTAATGGGTTTTGATTGGTGAAAAATGGGTCCACGAATAGGTTTGAAATGGGTCAACGGAAGGGTAAAACCATGGGTCGAACAATGGGTTTGATCACTTTAATTGCCTGTGCGACTGCCATCCACACGCCTCAAATTCCGGCCGGCTACAACCAAGCTGATTACACGAAAGTACAAGCATGAGTTATATCCTCTGAGTCACACCTCCGAGCCAATCAAGCAAGCAATCAAGCAAGCAATCAAGCAATCAAGCAAGCAATCAAGCAAGCAAGCAATCAAGCAATCAAGCAATCAAGCAAGCAATCAAGCAAGCAATCAAGCAAGCAATCAAGCAATCAAGCAATCAAGCAATCAAGCAAGCAATCAAGCAAGCAAGCAATCAAGCAATCAAGCAATCAAGCAAGCAATCAAGCAAGCAATCAGGCAAGCAATCAAGCAATCAAGCAATCAAGCAATCAAGCAAGCAATCAAGCAAGCAATCAAGTAAGCAATCAAGCAAGCAAGCAAGAGATGTGGTTGTACAAAGAGCTTGATTGCTCAACTTACGGAAGCAATGCCAGTCGTGGGTGGGGCTTGATACGTCGCACGAGGCTCCTATACTCAGCAGAACCCGTTTGCCACAGCAAGAACAACTGCGGGTTTTCGTCCAGCAGTCCCTCTGTCATCTCCTCCATCACCATATTGATCTTCCTTGCACCCAACGACCCTCCAAACACACAAACGATTCTGAACTTGTCCAATTTATCATCATTCTTATCCTCAGCACCGTCTTCATCATCACTCAACGTGGCAGTTTTTCTGCTGACGTCAGCATCACAAGGTGCTAGCCTTTTCCCGCCATCCACCCGCCGTATGATTTTGCCTATACGAAGCACACCCACACCTCCTCCTCCTTCTCCTCCTCCTCCTCCTCCTCCTGCTGCTGCTTGCTCTTTCTCACCGTTTCGATTGAACTGGATGAGCAGCTTCCTTGCCTCCTCTCTGCTGACGTGGCGCAATCTCGAGCGGGTTGGATTGCCAGCAAGAACACACTTGTTCTTGGGCAGTTGTTTCAAAGCCTCTCCGAATGCCACGTAGACCGCCGTAGCCGCCAGCCATGCCAAGATTCGATTGGTGATCCCTGCGTACGCGTTCTGCTCCTGGACCACCACAGGGATTCCCCGGAGGGCCGCGATCAGACACGTCGGGCCTGCCACGTAACCGCCCGTGCCAATCACCACGTGGGGGTTGATGGAAGCAAGCAGCTTCCAGCACCGCCACAGAGAGTAGAGCACTCGGAATGGGAGAAGCAGATTCGGCAGGGAGAGGAAGGGTCTCCGGATCCCGGCGGCCGGGATCGGTCGGATAGGGTATCCCGACGCCGGGACGAGCTTCCACTCCATCCTCTCGCGAGTCCCGACAAACACCACCATAGCCGACGGATCGGCTTTCACGACCTCGTCGGCGATGGCGACGGCAGGGTACACGTGGCCGCCCGTCCCTCCGGCTGCGAAAACGACCCTGAGACGATCCTCATCGCGCAGACCTGCAGTCGGGATCTTCGCCCCGCGTGACCAGTACGGACCTTTCACCAGAGGTCGCGACGGTCTTCCCTCCTCCTTTGTCGTCCGGATCTCGACGGAGCAGCCAACAGCAGCAGCTGCAGCCGCAGCTGGGGACTCTTCTTCTTCTTCTACCTCCTCTGTCGGGATCTCAACGTCCTCTGTCGGGATCTCAACCTCCTCTATCGGGATCTCAACCTCCTCTGTCGGGATCTCGACGTCGATCGTGCTGGACGAGACCTCAGGACCACCACCACCGCCTGCTTCTCCCTCCTTCGTTTCCGTCTTCGCTCTCATCCCCATTGCAAGCCTGCGAGAGGAGGAGAAGGAGACGGAGGAGGAGGAGGAGAAGGAGGGGGAGAAAGAGAAAAAGGAGGACAACGAGGAGGGGGAAGAGGAGGAGAAGGAGGAGCCTGTGTACGCCCAAGATCGAATCGCCAGCTGGCCACAGGAACGCATCCGTACGTCGGCGAATGCATGGACGCCAGCCGCACGCGAGGAGGAGGAGGAGGAGAGGATGGACCCCAACCGCAAGCGATGATCAAGAAATGACCGCATCGCATAAGGAGAAGGAAGGGCAGAGAAGAGGGCACACACAAAGAAGAGGAAGAGGTGGACGCGGAGGAGGAGCAGGAGGAGGAGGAGGAGAAAGAGGGAGGGGAAGGCGGATCTCCATATAGTTGACGTGGAGTTGCATCCTGACAAGAGAGGCATCCATTCACAACCAAATTTTAAAAATTGGTAAGTGCACACGTTGCGCCAACGCCGCCAACAACGAAATACTAATAAATTGCTAGACTGCTTAATTGCTTGATTGATTCCGACTTGATTGCTTCAGAGTAATTGATTGCTTGATTGCTTGATTGCTTGATTGATCACAAATACCGGAGACCAAGGAGGAATCTTAACCAATCAAGCAATCAGGCAGTCCATCCACAGGTAAACTTTAGAAACTAAGTGCAGACATCGTGGGAACAACGAAATCCTAATCAAGCAATTGATTGGTTGCTTAATTACTTGATTGATTACAAATGCCTGTGACCAAAGTGGAATCGCGATCAACCAACGCCTTTCTCTCTCTCTCTCTCTCTCTCTCTCTCTCTCTCTCTCTCTCTCTCTCTCTCTCTCTCTCTCACACACACACACACACACACACACACACACACACACACACACACACACACACACACACACACACCTGTCTCTTATACACATCTAGATGTGTATAAGAGACAGCACACACACACACACACACACACACACACACACACACGCACACATACATACCTTTGCATTAACAGCTGATTTCCACTTAGCTTTCGGATTCGGAGAAGGCCATCGTCTTGTCGCGGCGGAGGCGACGGGCACCATGGTTCTGCTACAGACGCCCACCATAGCCGCAGGCATTCCAAAGCTTCCGCCGTCGGGATCATCACAGATCCCGTGCCACGTGGACACCATCGGCGCCCATCTTCCCTTTTTCGCGCCGAGCCAGAGCGCCTCCCTCCTCTTCGTCACCGCTTCCGCCGGCTCGATCGAGGCCGCCATGTAACCCGATCTAGACTGCTCCATCGCCGGGACTAGCCCATGGAAACGCCCACAGCTTGGCTCCCATCCCGACCCGGACACTGGGCCCAGACTTAGACAGCAGGAATCCGCCATCGCCCTCACAACCCCAACCCGCACCTTCTTCGTCGCGATCTCTTTCCAAAGCTCTCTCTCTCTCTCTCTCTCTCTCTCTCTCTCTCTCTCTCTCTCTCTCAGAAATGCCAGTCCCCTCTCTCTATCTCCCTCTATCAAAATTGGCAGTCTTCTCTCTCAAAAAATGGCACTCCCCTCTCTCTATTTCCCTCTATCAAAATTGGCAGTCTTCTCTCTCTCTTTCTCTCTCTCTCAAAAAATAGCACTCCCCTCTCTCTATTTCCCTCTATCAAAATTGGCAGTCCTCTCTCTCTCTCTCTCTCTACAGTACATTCCAGACGTATCTGGAGTGAAACATAATCCCGAAGAGTGGGATTTGTTTTCGTATAAAAAAACATAAAAATAAAAAGTTGTCCAGATACACGCAGACCGGTGTGCAGTGGAGCGAAGCCCTCTTTCCCTCACCTGCTGCCCTTCAAGATTCCTGGAGCCATGTCCAACGTACCGAAATCCTTCATTTCTGCCCGTCTAACTGGGCAATCTAGGGCCAGAAATGGGACATACCAGGAAGTGGGACTTGGGCCCATAGTAGAGACTTCAAACTCCACTCTCCTTACAACCCCCTCTCTCTCAGTTTCTTGTTCCTTGCCTTGGATATGGTGGTCATTATACAACGACCACAAAGGTATAGGAGGACATGGTCGTCATTACACACAGAGAATTAGCATTCTCCCTGCCCGAGGATGACACGCATATATCGAAAAATGGTCCAACTTGTAAACCAAGAAACCACCAAAAAAGAAACAGGGTACGTCGGTCATCTCAATCAACAACAACAACAACAAAAAGAGTAGACAGAGGGACGGCCAAACTACAGACGGAATCACCGAAAAAAAAAAAAAAAAAAAAAAAAAAAGACACTACAGACGGAAGAACGAACGCCGCAGCCGACCAAGCGAGCCCCCGCCGGAGCCTCAGCCGGAGCTGTCGGGGCGCTCCTCTCAGCCGGAGCTGTAGGGACCCCGAGGAGCGCGCAGGACTCCAGGGGCCAGCAGGTCCCACCAGCAGAGTTGAGTTTCCTCGACGCCTGAATCTGTACGTGTTTGTGGAGACGTGCAGAAATTGCGTTGAGTTTCCTCAACCGCACTTCTCCACAAATTTCTGCACTATCTCCACAAACAGGTCCAGATTCAGGCGTTGAGGAAACTCCACGCTGCTACCGGTAGTGGGACTTGGGCCCAAAACAAAACGCCGCCAGGGCAAAGGGGCAAACGAACATGCCGTTACCTCGCCCAGGCGTTGAGGAAACTCAACGCGGCTACCGTCGTCCCCCGAACACAACGCACCCTCGTTACTATGACTGTACCCGACCGGAAACAGTGCTTAAATACGGTCATTATCAAGGGTGCGTTGTGTTCGGGGGAAGACGGTAGTGGTGGGACGTGGCCCCAGGAGTGACCCACTGGCGAAGAGGATTGGATTATGGGCCTCGCCGCACCAGTCACCAAATGTGCGAGCTGAGAACGAATCTCAAGCTAGAACATGGAAAGATTCACCGGCACAATTTTTTTGTTTGTTTGCAGAAAGGAAACGGATGTCCGGGGCCGGGGACCCCACAATTCAACCCGGACTATCTACCTATGGCAGCATTAGCCAGTTTCGCTTCTTACGGCACCAATAGGAACCGAAAGATAACAATCAGATGAGTACCTTGGAAACAGAGTTAAGCTATGCTACGTCTACTCTGAATTAAGCGAAGGCTTAGTCAGTGAACGGACTAACAGAGCGACCAAAGATTAGGATTTGGGACTGGAGGTTGGGGTTGGAACTGTGATATGGAAGATGGGATTAGGGAGTAGATAAGAGGACCAGATGGGGAGAGACGGTGGTTGAGGGGGGTAGAGGCTTGACGCAGATAAGGAATACTGAAAAGAAAAGGAAGAAGAAAAGGAGGACGGGAAGGAGAATGGAGAAGAAAGGGAAGGGGAGGGAGGGAAGGGGGGAGGGAGGGGGAGGACGTACGGGGGAGAGGGCTAAGATACTTGGTTTAGAGAGTGTGATGAGTAGAGTGTGACGAGGGTGGGAGTTTAAGGGGGAAAGGGGGGGTAGAGACTGAACTGAACTAGGCCTGAGGAAGAACGGCCTGAACCAGCCTAAACAGCGGCCGGTCGGAGCCAGACACCCTGGCTCCCTGAGAATTGACACTCTCCTCCCTCCGCCCCTCAGCTTCCCTGCTACTGATGGCCTACTGCGGCCCACACTAACCGAGTGTCCTGGTTGACCGGCACAATTTTTCTCTTTTGTTTGTTTGTTTGTTTGTTTTTTTTTGTTTTTTTTTTTAAACATCCAGCTCCAATCTATTAGTGGGGAGCAGCACTTGCTGGGAACCGGGCCCAGCGTCCCTCATCAAAGGTAAAAACTCTGTGGTACGAGGGGCCGGGGACCAAGTCCCACTTGCAGCGGTTTAGTCCTCAGTTCGGGACCCTGTGTTTTGTGCGACACGTTTCCTGACCGCTGATTCACATTGATCGTAGGGGGCATGGTCGGTTATGTTTTTCTTCGAACGGAATGGATTGAATGTTGCTATGTAGCGGTTTCCCATTGGCTGTTATAGTCGGAATGAGCTCTTTCACTCGCAGGGAACGGTCCTCGTCCGTAGCCGGACCCCAGTCGGGCTAGACGTGGGGACCGTCCATCGTCTTGTATTTCCACAGAAACTAAAAGTTTTTCCCGACAATGCCGCTGCCATACCCTTGGTTACCAGACTGACCGGCCTTTCATCATTACTGTCATTCAGCACGTTGAAATCCTGTTATTTTTCGCGATTTAACCCGTCGTTTGTCAACCAGCCGCACATTGCCACACGAAGTCACACAGTGTCCTGCAGTACTGGCTACGGGAACTAAACCGCTGCAAGTGGGACTTGGTCCCGGGGTCCCCACAGTCTACCCGGTACAGCAAAAAAGTGGCTGAGAAAAAAGGAGACTACCACATAAATGATAAGAGAGTCGGAAAAAAAAAAAAAAAAAAAAAAAAAAAAAAAAAAAAAAAAGAGAGTCGGACGGTAAGACTTCTAATTTAACCTTCACTCCCAATCCCTCTCAGCTCAGGGCCTATACGCCCAGGGCCTATACGCCTGAACCTGGACGTGTTCGTGTTCGTGGAAGGAGTGCAAAATTGTGTTCGTGGAAGGAGTGCAAAATCGCAATTGATCTCTTTTCTGCATCTCTGGGTTAGAACACGCCCTGATTCCGACCTTGAATCCAAGCCCATTTTTCTTTTTATTTTTCCTCTTTTTTTTTTTCTTTTTTTTTCTCCGTTTTGTTTTGGGGGCAAACAATTCAAGGTGGTGCTCGAGCCTTACAGCCTTTTCGGCGCACCGGATGGCCGGGTCGTCCAGCAGTGCGTCCTTGAAATAGGCACCACAGGTGTGCAACATTACCGCTACTTGTGGGGTATTGCCGGCCCCCCTTGGTCCCTTGATGCAATAAAGGCTCTTCCAAAAAAAAAAAAAAAAAAAAGGGTTCTTGTTTCCTCAAAGCAGAAAAAAAAAAAAAAAAAAAAAAAAAAGGCCATCACACCTACCGTGACGGTTAGGACCGTTATGCTTTCACGGGACGTTCCGCCTCCCGTTCCCTGCCACTGTCCTCCCAGCGTTCGTTTTTCGTTGTCTTGGGAAACTTTGTCGGATGCCCCTAAAAGATGTGGTATATCGTCGAATGCCCTAAAGAAGAGTGGCATCCCGATATGGCCCTCTCTTTTTTCTTGCCTATGGCCCTAACCAGCTGGTTCAACTTTGCACCGCAAAAAATGCCGTGGCGCTAGGGGGCGGTGCTGTGAGCGAAGCAGTTTGTAGGCCTCGCTCCACTACTCTTGCCTCATGACCCGGTTTCCAGCAGGTGCAGCTCCCCACCAATATGATGGAGTTAATGTTTCAAAAAAAAAAAAAAGGGAGTCTTGAAATTCGAGGCAAATGCCGGGTTGAATTGTGAGGTCCCCGGCCTTGGATTAATACATTTGAATCTGAATGTGTACCTCGAATTTGCCTCAACATTCAGCGACATTCAGAGACATTCAGCGACATAGCTCAATTGGTTAGGCAAGCGACATTCAGGTTCAAATGCAGGCAAGCGACATTGGTTAGGCAGGCAAGCGACATTCAGCGACATTCAGGTTCAAATGCAGGCAAGTGACATCGGTTAGGCAAGCGACATTCAGGTTCAAATGAATTAATCCGAGGCCTCGACAAGGGGCATTCCGGTTCAAATGAATTTGAATCCGAGGCCTCAAATTTCAGATTCAAATGAATTAATTCGAGGCAAATTCCAGCGGCCTAGCTCAATTGGTTAGGCAGGCAAGTGGCATTCAGGAGGTCGAGGGCTCAACCCCCATGCCCGCCTGTGGCACACTCGGTGCCAACCAACTGAGGTAGTCAGCTGGATCCTCCCAGTCGGTATTAGTAAGGTCTTCAGCCAACAACGGTGTGGGTGCGGGTGTGAGTGGGTTGCGTGTGGTGTGTGGGAGAGTGTTGGCTTTAGACACTACGGTTACCCGATGGGGGTGACGGAAGATGAAAGGGGGAGGCAGAGTTACTTGCAAATGGCCGGTCATTGTGTCAACCGGGGCCCCACCAGCGGGCCCAACCCTGCACGCTAAATGCTAGGGCAGAGGGGCAAATATGCCGTTACCTCGCCCAGCTAAAAATTTTCGCTGCCGTCCTATGCGGCCATTAACCCGATGGGGGTGGGAGAAGATGAAAGGGGAGGCACAGTTACTGGCAAATGCTCGGTCATTGTGTTAGCCCGGGCCCCACCAGTGGCCCCAACCCTGCACCCTAAATGCTAGGGCAAAGGGACAAACATGCCGTTACCTCACCCAGCTAAAAATTTCCGACGTCCTCCTATGCGGCCGTTAACCCGGTGGGGGGTGGGGAAGATGAAAGGGGAGGCACAATTACTGGCAAATGCTCGGTCATTGTGTTAGCCAGGCCCCCACCAGCGGCCCCAACCCTGCACCCTAAATGCTAGGACAGAGGGGCAAACATGCCGTTACCTCGCCCAGCTAAAAAATTCTGACGCCGTCCTATGCGGTCATTAACCGGATGGGGGTGGGAGAAGATGAAAGGGGAGGTACAGTTACTGGGAAATGCTCAGTTATTGTGTAAAGCCCGGCCCCCACCAGAGGCCCCAACCCTACACCCTAAATGCTAGGGCCAAGGGGCAAACATGTCGTTACCTCGCCCGGCTAAAAATTTTCGACGCTGTCCTATGCGACCGTTAACCCGGTGGGGGTGGAGGAAGATGAAAGGGAAGGCATAGTTACTGACAAATGTTCGGTCCTTGTGTTAGTCGGGACCCCACCAGCGGCCCCAACCCTGCACCCTAAACGTTAGGGCAAAGGGACAAACATGTTGTTACCTCTCCCAGGTAAAAATTTTCGACGCGCGTCCTACGCGGCCGTTAATG